GTCTCTACACAAATGTAACCAATATAGTAACTCTATAGGCATTCTATAAACCCTCTAAGTTTGTCCACAGGTGGTTAAAGAAAACAACCATGTGCTGCTTGCTCTTCTATTTCCTCTGAGCACAGTAGCTCTAATGGCATCCATTTTATTTGAACTAAAAATATACTGTCTTAACCATAGCATAGAAAAAGTCATTAGCTTTGCACCATTGTGACAAATACCTGTGATAAAAAGGAAAGATTTAGCAGGCTAGAGAGATGGTTCAGTGGTTATGAATACTTGCTGATTTCCAGAAGACTCAAGTTCAAGTCCCAGCATACACATTATGGCACACAACCATCTGTAACTCCAATTCCATTGGGTGTGACACCCTCTCCTGTGGGTGTCTCCATGGAATCCAGGAATGCATGAGATGCACATATATGCATTCAGGCAAAGCATTCTTACAACACAGAAAATAAAATAAATTAAAAGAAAATTTTATGTTGGCTTGTAATACCCGAAGTTTCACTCCAATGTTAACTGGCTGTTCAGCTTTTGGAGCTGTGTCAGGGAGTCTACTTACCTCTTAATAGCTGGGAATCAAAGAAGAAAGAAAGAATCCCACAACCACTGCAAGTTCATACCCATGTTCTAGGTATTATGGATGCCAGAATCACAAAACAAAGATTGTGGTTATGTGGGTGATCCTGTGTGCGTGTGTGTATATGTGTGAGACAAGAAACTGTTGATGTGTGTGCAGTAGAACTTCCTGCTACTGGGTTCTAGCGTTTCTCATCAGTGCTTGTGACTAAGCCTCTAGCACAAAGGTCTTCATATGACACTGTTAATGCGAAGCATAGCAAAGTGTCTACACCAATCTAACCCATGCAGCTTACCCTCCCGGTCACCACGTTACTTGTTTCAAGCCACACTGGCCTCCTTGCCGTTTCTGCAAATGTCAGACAATGCTGTTTCCCTTCTGCTCCACATATAGTAACAGTTTCTTACCTCACACATATGCACATAAAGGACCACCTACATAAGCCAAAATCTCTGCTTTGTGTAGTCTACTATCCACCGGTATCTAAAACCGTGCCTAATATGAAAGCAAAAGCCTCAAGACTGGCCAGTTCTCACAATAAATTATTCTGTGTCCTTGCACAGTTTAAAACAAGAGAGAAAGGAAGCCTATCGGAGATACCTTAGAAACAGCTAGTGATGAAAGAATTTAGAAGGCACATTAGGGACTCTATGTCTTGTGAACCTTTTATGATTCCTGAACATGGTCCTCTATTACAGAATAAAAGTGAATTCAAAAATGCTAGTGACAATGCAGACAAAGAGGAATCCTCATTCACTGCTGCAGCCACTATGGAAATCAGTGTGCAAGTTTCTCAAACCACTAAGATAGTGCCTGGGGAGGTAGCTCAGTCAATAAACACTTGCCTTGCAAGCTCAAGAACAGACTTCAATATTCAGAAATCACATTTAAAAATGCCAAGCACTGTGGTGTGTGCTTGTAATCTCAGTACTAGGGACAGATGGATCACTAGCATTTGTTGGTCAGCCACCATGGCCTAAGTTGTGAGATCTGGATCAGTAAAAACCACTATCTTACAAAAGAAAGAGGGAAATTCTAATTTAAATAAAGAAAGAGGAGTAAAAAAGAATCATTTCTTTAGGAACAACTTACTTAGCTTTAAGTCTATAAATATTAAACCCCTCACAAAGCAATTCAGTGTCATCCTTCAAGATGAGCCAGGTCTGATGTCAGAAACACAAGGATCTAGTGCTCATCTTCCAGGATATAATGGGGGCCCAGGTGAGAGAGGACAGCACAAAAAAGATCAAGGGATCTCAGACGTGAAAGAATTGGTGAATGAGCATCATTTGAAAAACAAGCTTCATGGGAAAGATACAAAATGATCAGTATCATTATAGAGGAGGGAAGGGAAGGAAAGGGGACAGAAGGGAGGAAAAGAGGTCAAAAGGAAAAGGAAAAGGGGGTCAGTGCCTGAGGAACGCCACCCAAGGTGGCCCTTTGTCCCCATATGCACATACAGACAGAAGGCTGAAACTAGACTTACCCAGCTGGACCATGCCTAGGCATACTCGCGAAGAACTTTCTGTCCTCCCACAACAAAGTTGTATGTACAAGTTCATGCCTGTTCTGTTAATAATAATTGGAAATGTTGCACAATGGGATTTTACACAGACATGCAGAAAAATGAAATTATGAATGTTTCAGTAAAACAAACAGATCTAGAAATCACTATATTATTGAGATATTCTAGACTCAGCAAAAGCAAATACAGAGTGTTCTGTCTCACAAGGAATTTCTAGCTATTGATGCTTATGGATATGGATGTGTGAGGGTGTGAGTGAGGATGTAGGTCATGAAACCAAGAGTGGACTAGTGTAGGAGCAATCTGTTCTCAGAAAAGAGGCTGAGAGGATCACAGAATATACAAGACAGAGCGTATGTAATTAGAAAGGGGCCTACTTGGAGTCAAAGGACACCATCTAGAGTGGGGTGAGGAGATGGAAGAGAGAAAGGGGGAGACTCAATCCTGACAAACTGTGTATAAAAATTCTGTAATGAAACTGTCACTTTCCTGCTAATTAAAAACAATGAAAATCTGACTGAACTGATGTATCACTGTCAACACGTAGGCACAGTTTTCTCCCACAGAGAAGGCACCTTTGCTTCCTCCCAGCTGATAGCTTTGTCACCAACAACAAATAAAGGACTAAAACGCACATGACCAAAGCAAGCATGGAGCAGGAGTCAGATTTGAGGCATGGGTAAAACATGAGTATTTTATTTCTGCTCAATTTCACGGGGGAGTTTTTTTCAGTTGTGTGTTGCAAGGCACTCATATTACCAAACTACCTTGTTCTTCATTTTAAACTGGGAGATGGGCCTCTCTAACTGGTCTAGCATTGCTCCCTTCTCTATTGTCCAAAAACATTTACCCGTATTTCTGTTTCAATACATTGTGTAGAAATCAAGCAGAGAAGCAGGTATCCCAATCAGGAATGCTAACTCAGACAAAGGGGAAAAATCTCTCAAGGTGTGTCTATTGGGAAATCCAGAAGTATTGTCAGTAGGGGAAAAGTGAAGATGCTGAATTTTGCACTAACCGTGGTTAAAAATTTACCAGTACCCACTATATTTGACAGCCCTTACATGTCATATGGGGCACATTTTCCATTTCATGGAAGAATTGTTCACAAATGGGGAACTAGACCACAGACTGTCACTGTTTTCTGGCTAGGTCAGTGCCGCAAAAATTTTCCCCTTTCTAGGAGGCATTAGGAGCCAGGGTAAATGTGTGAGCTTTGGAATTAGACAAAATGATTTTAAATTATGGATCCATTGTGTATCTGCTGTGTATTTCAATTTATCATTTAGCCTTTCTCAACCTGTTCCTGCTCGTCTCAAATTGCATTCCAAAGACACAGCCCTTAGGATTTTTCTGGTAACACAATTAAATTACAAGATGAAGTGTCCAGATGATCTCAGGATATGGAAGTATTCCTTGCTTTATCACAGTCTGCTGTACTAGAAGAGAAAAATACATTCAACTAATGCCTGATGGAAATCACAATTATAAAAATATCATTACTATAATTGTTTTGCTAAGAAGGTTTCAAATGTTTTCCACAAACACACAGGGATTTGGTAGTCTGGACATCTAACGAAATGGCCTACACAACACACAGTATTATCAGATGTGCAGGAAGACTCCTGCATTTACCCTCTGTTGGTGAGAAGGCATTTAAGAATGAGAGGATAGTGTGTGTCCTTCCAGCATCTATCCCTGAAATTTGGTAAGAAAGGGACTGCTCAAATCTTAGCTTGTAGGAGGGGAGGGGAGATAAAATGCAAGAAAACCTTTGCTATAAAGGGAAGCGGAAAACACGATTCGCCCCTAGGGAACATCAGTTCTCCTCTGTCTGACTCTTTTTTTTTTTTTGCTCACACACACAAAAAAAATATACTGAGAAATTTCAAAGTCACTGGGTTAAAAGCAAACTTTAAAACAGCCAGGGAGCCTACAAAGCAATCCCTATTCTGCCCTGAGTTACGTAGGGAGAAGCTTGGATCTTCACATATCTAATTCAGTGTCAGAAGCAAGCCAGTCCCAGGATTGTCATGAATCTTATATGAAGGCTAAGTGTGCCTTCTGCCAGCCACCATTTGAGGGGTAGGGATTGGAACCCCAATTTTATCCCTTTGTCCTCTTCCGGTCTCATGAGGGTGGGAACCCTCTAATGAACCACTTTGATTGCCTAGTTTGATATTTCTGATATCCAGAAATGAAGCCTGTACTAGGACCTAGTACAAAATAGAAACTATGATCTAATTCTAAAACGGGAAAAATGAATGCAATTATCCAAAGAAAGAGAAAACACCAATCACAAGCTTGAAGCTGTCTGAAGTAGACATTTTTTATTTTTTTAAAAAAGGGTTTTTTTCTCACAGTTTAAAGTTGTAGTCCATCACTGGGGAAGGTCACAGTGGCAGGAGCTTGAATCATCCGGTCAAACCAAACCAGGAAAGGAAATGGAACAAAGTTCTATGTAGAAATCAGTTCATTTAAAATATGTCTGAAGACACCAATGTGAATTTTAAGCTCTAATCCTAAAGAAATCCAGTTAAAATTCTCTACTTTAAATAATTGTTTCCCTGTACAGTGTCTCTATTGGAATGCAAGAGCTTGGCTTGTGGTAAGGAAAAAAAAACTTTCTGTACAAGCTCCCAAAGGCTTAATGACATCAAGGAGTGGCCTGAGACTGACTCAGGCTGAATGAATACAACAGCCAACTGCACTCTGAAAGTTTTTGGAGGGGCTTAGAGGATTCCCCAGACCAGGTCCTTCTATGCAGTTGCTGTCTTCATGCAGGACATGATTAGACACTGTATGGAAAGTGAATGAGAAATGAATAATTATAGTATTGATATTGTATTGTGTCTTGCAACTCACTCAATCATTTTTCACAGTCCACTTTAAAAAACCATAGAATGCTTCACAAATTTTCATGTCATCTTTGTGCAGGGGCCATGCTGATCTTCTCTGTATCATTCCAATTTTAGTATATGTGTTGTCAAAGCAAGTATACAGTCTACCTTTTATAACTTCTGTTACAATAACCCTATGAAGAAAACTGTTATTTAACAGATAAAAGAGTAGAAGATCAAAGAATTGAAGAAGACTAACAAGAAACATTATCAAAGGGAGATAAGCTAGAGCCAGAAGACAATTCATTGACCCTATAAGCTGTGGTCTATGCCAGTGGGCAGTGATGGTAGGCAGGCCTAGCATCCAAGCTAAATGACAAATTCCTGAAGCTATTTTTGACCCATCCCCTTGAATCTTTTATCTAGGTGCTTTCCTTTCTTGTTATATGTCACAAAAGTGACATACTACTCATATTTGTGATATCATTCAGGGTCAAAAGTGAAACTACTTCCTGAAAAGCATTTTAATAGGATTTTTTTGCAAATCATCATGCAAACATCTATGGCTTACAACTTGTTTTTGGTTTTCTGGGGCTTCTGTATTTTAAATAACAACTATTTTCATAAAATATTTTTAAAGTTGTGTTTGGTAAATGTTTGTACAGAAAGTACTGATTTTCTAATTCTTGAAAGTTATCTTTGTCCTGGATTTTAAAATCATGAGTTTATTCCCCACAAGTTACTGTGCTCTGTATTCAAAACTACACTTAGGGTTTTTCCCTTGGTTTCAGAAACTGAAATACTGTCAGATTATCTCACTGAAAAAGTAGTCTAGTGTTTTTAATACCCAAAATACTTTCTTAAATATTATTCTTTTTAGAATTTAAAATTTTACATAAATTTTGTGAAAAGTTAAGCCAGGTTGAAAAATAAAGGTAGTTATTATCTAACGGGACACTAAATACTAAATGAAAAATTAAGAAAATGAATTCTACAGGACCGGACCAGATTGTGTTTTATTCTTCTATCTTTTATTTAAATAGGCAGTGAGAAATTTGAATACATATAATATCCAGTTTACACTGTTTGGTCTGTAGAAATGGCTAGAAAGGGAACTTTATCTGCTCCCCAACACTTATACTCAAGATCCATATAGGTGATCTGCTCATCTATTGATCCTTCCTCTTTCTGCCTTTCCTTTCTAGAAAGTAGATGAAGTCAGGAATGCCAGGTCAGAGCTCTGGCACTGACACCAGAAGGAACTTCCAATGTGGAACGTGGAAAAAAAAGGACAATGTATAAACACATGTTTAAAAATCAAAATGTTCATGGTGATACTCAGAACTAGAATATGGAAGAATTATCCCCAAGACCAACACTCAAGGTATTTCTAATAAATACTGTGTTGGCTGCCTTGATAACTGATGCACTTTCCAGGTTTTCACTCCCAAGTTAAGTGCCTGTTATGAGTCATACACTATGCCAGGTGATGAATACATATATATAGAGAGATGGCTCATTGTTTTTCTTTAAGAATCTCATAGCCCATAATGTAATATTATAAGGTAAGCGCTGTAATAGAGATTTGGTGGAGAAATATGACTTAATCCAGCATCAGGGGAAAGTTAAGTTAATAAGTGGATAGCAAGTACCATGTTAACAAAGACCCAAGCTCTCTCACTTTTGCAGCCTTACTAGACAGAATTGTACTTGATCCCACATGAATTCTCAATGGCATTGTAATAGTACTGGGTTCCAATTGAGTCATATGGGTGATGAAAAGGAAAAAATAGCTTGAGGGACATGTCCTCAAGCTTATCTAGGAATTGCAAAGCAAGTTGTAGCTATGTATGACTGAAGTACTGTGTGTCAGCAGAAAAAAATCATGAACTGTGAAGCCTGAAAGACGTGTCAGAGCATACCTTGAAGACTTGTAGGTCATTAGTGAGACATATATATATATATATATAAACATTTTAGAGAAATATTAAAGTTCTTTCATGGATTAAACAGCCCAACACTTTCACAATAGCATGTCTAGGTACTGCTATGAGAGCACAAAGAGGGACTATCTAATCACACTACCCAGAGACCTCAGCAAGAAATGTGGTTTTTAAGTTTTGGATGAGTGAGGCAAACTCATACTTTGAGGGAAGAAAAATGCAGGTCTAGAGGTTGGCTTCACGGAGCATCTCAGTGCTTAAGAAGACAAATGTGCCCAAAGCTACAGGTGACAGAACTAGAGAAGTGCTGGTGACCAAGACTAAGGAGGTTCCACATGATCATGCTTTGGAGTTAGCCTGAAAGGAATGAGGAAGTACAGAAAGCCTTGACACAGAAAAATGATCTGGGAGTATTTCCAGCTTGGAAATGTCTACAGATGATGTGCTCCATCACACCTATATAAATGGTGTTCAGAGGATCTGTAAGTTCTAACCTCAAAGACTATTTTGAATGATTTATCATTACACTGATGGGGAGCCACTGTGGGCATTTAGAGGGCAGGAGTCTAACAATACTGGAAATCTTACTATAGTGACCCAGGATGAGAAAAATTGTCCCTGTATGCACCTACACTACTTCTTATGTACATGGACATTTGGATATATGGGGAAACTTTATGTACATTGAAATATAACAACGGTTTAGATGTTAAGACAAAGTTTTACTTTTACTGTGGGCTGGATGATTCCAAGGAATAGGTATCACATAAAATGACTTAAGATTATATTGTTTAATTTGGAACTTTGTCGAGAGTTGTTCATGACTTCAGGTAGGAAAGTACATGATGGAAACACTGCTGTACTCACAGTGGTTCCACTAAGCATCCACAATTGCTTATGTATCTTTCCTTTCCCATAACATAGAACCAGCCAATGGTGATTGACTTGTTTTCTATAGAAAGACGTTATCAGTATGAAAGATTCAGAGAACATATGAGAAAATATAGTACATGGTTGGCCAACTAGAGTGTGTGACAGGGTTAGAACTTCTTGGAAGTTATATTCTCAAATTCTGATTTCTGAGAATGTAGGTAATTGGTTTGGGAAAGGCCAAGAAGCTTTAACTTTTAGCAGCTTCTCACAGGCACTGACTTACAGACATGTAAAACTCAGAACATTTTAGAGTGAGAATTCTCAACCTGTGGGTCAAGACCATCGGAAACCACTTATTTCCCATGGTCTTAGGAATTCCCAAACATACATTTACTTTTGTTGCCACTTCCTTTTTCCCCCTTGTTGCTATTTCAAGACAGGGTTTCTCTGTATTGCTTCAAATCCTGTCATGGAACTTGCTCTGCAGACCAGGTTGGCTTCGAACTCACAGAGAAATGCCTGCCTCTGCCTCCTGAGTGCTGGGATTAAAGTTGTGTGCCGCCAATGCCCTGCCTATTGCCACTTCTTAACTGTAATTTTGGTACTGAGCAGTGTCTCAGTTCCTAAGACTGTTGGAAATATGTGTGTTCTGATGGTCGCAACCCCCAGGTTGAGGACCACTGTGTTAGAAACTCACAATAGTGTCTAAGGTCTCCTCACACCCTAGTAAACTGTCACCTGTGATGACCATGGCAATGGGCATGGCCGCCTCCCATTGCCATGATCCCAACTTCAGACTGTACCACACTGGCCTTGGTTCCAACATAACACCCAAAGGAGTCATCATTTTTCAGTGATCACTCCTAATATGTTCATAGCAAAACACAAGTCCCCAACATGATCTTGTTTGTTATGTATTCAAAGCAGCAACTCTGGCCTTCACAAACATAAATACGAGAGTAAATTTTCAAAAAAAGATTGTAGGTTTGCAATGCACATCATAGCAGGTGTATAAGAAGTAAACTTTTGCCAAACTGCACTGAAATTTACTCCATGACAGGAGCAGCCCATTTTCTCCATGGCTGTCATAGATTTCATGGATCTTGAGAAATCCAGCCATTTTTAGAAATTCCATGAAATTTACCTTTTCACTCGAATCCACATGAAATCAAAATTTTTCCCTACGAGTCCCCATAAAATTGGCACATTTCCTCAGAAGACCCCATGAAATTATAAAGAATATTGCAGATTCTTTGCTCCTCATCCTGGCTGCACATCTTAAAGAGACAGGTCAAAGATTGCAGAGATATTCCATTTTCCTGATGATAGTCACCTAAAATCACTGCAAATCCCAAAAAGACAGTAGATGTTTAGTAGATCATTTAGAAGTGAAATAAACTTGAATCTACTTTGCATAATCTAAAAATTAGGAAAAAATGGTTACAGAAAACTGTAAAGAATATGGAGTTTACCAAATTTCACCCTAAATAGATTTTTCTTATACTTTCTCTTCTACCTTGTCTTTTAAAACTGGGAGATATTGTATAAATTTTGATATTATTAAAATATCTGGAAAGCCATTTGAAGTTAGGATGCTGGAATAAAAGACCACCCCAGCTATTTTCACACTAGCCAACTGTGCAATAAATCAAAATAAAATTTCTCTCAAAGCAAAAGTCACACTCCCATCCCTGAGTTCACAATGGAAATGATGTCTCATAAGCTCTACTTCTTAGAGTATTATAAGAATCAGACACAATAACAGAGTCAAAAATGTAGACTATACAGTGCTTTCAAATATAAAAGAAGGAAAATGGTGCCCTTTACAGTTAGTGAAAAAATTAATGTTATAACAAATAGAAAATACAGATACTTCTGCTAAGTGCATTGTATGTATTCTAGTTAATACAAGATTATTACTCAGCTTTATGTCCTCACAAAGGAAAGGTGAATTTGGAAAAATGATTAAAAGGCATCATGACAAAATAAGATAACTTTGTAACTTATGGATAGCTTTAAATTGGGACCATTATAAAAACAAAAGGAACATGTGTATTTCATATTCCTATAAAAAAAATCACCTCCCTGGTTTCTACCTCTTTCTTGGCTCCCTCAGGATTGAGTAAAACAAGTTCCCAGTTCAAGTCAGCAAGGCCACACTTAAAATGTCATTTCCTGAGTGTAAGCCAGCACTCCATTCCAAGGAGGAATTCATGCCAGCAGATTTACCCTCCTGAATGGCAAATGACCTCAAGAAATTCTAGGCTGCCTTTGAGTTTGCATTAGCACATTCATTTTGAGTCACGTGAGTATTTACTCTTTTATTAGATTTATCATCCACCATC